CACTTTTTTATAAATGTGTAATAAGCACACACTGAAGAACACATCCTGGTCATAAGTTATTCCGAATATCATCATAGTGTTACTGGAGGCCTAGATACTTACTTACTGAAGTAAGTATCTAGTTCGAAACCACGTTTCTGTCCTACACCATTATTTTAGGGTCTTTATCTTTTAATATAAAGGGCCTGAAGGCAACTGTTGACCTGGAAGATTTTTAGGACAATAACCTCAGTCTTTCCTAATTCGAAGCAGGAAATCAGAGATCATCCGGTGATAGTTGGTATGAAAGACAGGAAACATTTGTCTTTGTCTTTGTCTGGTGTTGGAGTTACATCCCACGCTGACAAACCAAAGAGCACTTATAGATCGACTTGCTGCTGTTGTAAATGTCCAAGCATTTCAAATGAACAAAGTCTTTCTAGCACATGTACTTAAAGTCAGTGCAAACATTAAGTTAAAATATATCTGTCAACTCCAGCTCTGCCTCCTGCCCTAAATCATGCATCATAACATGTGTCTGCCATCTGTTAACTCTGTCATATTTCTGTCTTCTGGGATTTTTCGTTATTAATAAAAAAGTTCGTTGTGACACGTGATTTCTTCACAGTATAAAGTTTATGTGGATTAAATCACCTTAGATGCTGAACGAAAAGCGTGAAATTCGTTGGCACGACAGTTTAAACGCCTTCTCATGACGTCACGTTGCGTTAGCGTCCTGCTGCCAGTGGGAGCCCCGTTCATGTGAGGGTGGGAGAAGAGGGCTCTTATAGGACTGAGATATTAAACTGAATTTCAAAGAGTCTGTGATACTTGGTGTGTAATTTTACAGGACAGAAGCTGCAGCCTCAGCATCACCGAACTGCTCAAGATGTTTAAAAAACTCCTGCAATATGTTCGTACTGAAAAAATCGGTACCCCCGGGACAGTGATCGGGATGGTCGTCATGGCTTTCTTTCTGCGGAGTATGATGTGCGCTTGCAGCACTTTTGAATGTAATGAAATCATCGTCGTGCCTATTTTTTTGATATTTTTCCTGATGCTCCTGATAGACCAGACATTTCGGAGCACTGCGAAACATCCATCCACGTTTTTATGCATTGTACTCAAGCGCGTTATCAGAGCGTTTCTAATCAGTCTGCTGTGGATTGTAGCTGTGTTGATTTTCACAGACTGGTATGGTTGCTGTAAAACTGATGAAAACACGAGTAAGCTGTTCTGTGAACTTGGGATCCACACCACTGAAGAAGAAGCTCAAAAAACTGAAGTGCAAATCAAATCAAAGGTGAGGATGTCTTGTTGTATATATGTGCTCTTATTCTACTTTACAAATTTACAGCAAACACACATTAATGCTGTTATGTTTTGCATGTTTGTTGCTTCTTTTTCAGCTTGCTGGTTACTCTCTGCTCCTCAGCATGACTGTGGTCGCTTTCTTCATGACTTGGAGTGGGTGGAGGAATTGGTTTATAAAAAAATTCAGTTGGTGCAACAAGAAAACGTTTTACTACAAACTGATTTTGGAAGAAGAGAAAAAAGTTCTGGAGGAGCTTTTGAGGAAAGAAGCAAATGAAACTCTGACTAAAGAAATCACGAGCAACATAAAAAGGAAAGACTGGGACGGCTGTTTAAATGTTGCTCAACAAATGATCAATAAAGCAAAACATCAAAAACCAGAAGCGACCAACCAGCAGATCAACTGGATCAGTGAGGGGAGCTCCAGCAGAGGGGGACAGCATCATCAAGCAGCAGCACATCAGGAGGTAAAGTGATGTGTTATTTACAGATGTTACAGCTGCCCGACTCAGTCAGTCTAAATTAATGAAACTATTTCTTTGTTGCATTCTGACCTGCACAGTCATCCAGGTCGCCATGAATCCAACTCTACTCTTTATTAATAGCATTAACGTGTGTTGTTGTTGTTTAGTTAACTATGAAACCAAAAAGACACAGATTGCTATCCTGATGTAACTCTGGTTAATCTGGGCTTGAGACCATCATTAGAGCACTCTACAACTACTAACACTGTGCAGAAATACAATGAAGAGTGAATAATTAGTGCACAGAGATTCTGTTGTTTACTTTTTCTATCAGAGTTAACTTTCTTACTAATTGATAAAAATCTTTTGCAGGCACAAAACTATGAACTTGAAGCAGTGGCACGAGGTAAACGCACCAACACTCTCACCGTACAGCTCTCTTAACATCACCTAACTTCACTTTTACAGCGATAATACTAAAACCTGTCACTGATGTGAGGATGGTGGTCTGCATAGTTACCACTGTGCATTTTCTTGTTGTCACTGAGACTGTCTCACATTGAGGGCTTGCTCTGGCCCAGCTCCATGCAAAGCCTCTTGTGCATAAAGACACGACAGACTCTAAATGTCTACATTTAGTCAGGAGCTGTGACTCAGTTTAGACATTTACTTTAAAAACTAAATTGATAACAACAATAATAATCTCTTTCACAGGGTTGAAATATCTTATATCTCATAGCTCATAATGAGATTTTTAATATTGCGCTGCTGAGGTTGGAGTTAATTTTAATCACTTTAGAGATTGGCCACAATGTGTTACTGTATCAAATTTTCTCACGTTGTTTGTCTCCTGCCCTCCTGCTGCACCATTTATATTTTCATTTATAAAGTTGCTATCAAAGCTCAGAGTGTAGCAAATCTGTATTTAGCACCTCTCAGTCCTCTTATTTCCCCTTTTGTTTTACTTATGATGACTGATGTTATGATCAGTCTGTTGGAATCAGAATAAAATTTATGGTCTCCATCTTTTTTAACTCGGCCGACAGACTGTGAGGCAGTTTCTCTGCACTGAAAACATTTACTGTTTATCACTGCAACAGTCTCTGTGTTACCCTTCCTTACTCTTCATATTCACAGGGTTCAGGGTAGTTTGGACCCAGGCAAAGAATTCCTTCATAACGAGAGTCTACAACAAATTGTTATCTACAGATATAATAATCTGACGTTATAATAAATTAATGATTCATCCTAAATGAATCTTTCTGAGAGCAGAGAGAATTCTGGGTCCTTTGCAACACTTGATTTTGGAGACACGACAGCATAACAACCATACTAATATAAATATATTAAAGGTTAAATAGCAAGAACATTTTGGAACTGTTAGGGTTTATTTAACTGTGTAAATATTTTCCAGTTGTTGACACTGTCCTCACTTCTATATCTCTACAAAACAAAGCATGTCCTGAATAAAAAATCATTATACACACTCTATTGTACTCTGTTGCTTCCATATATGACTTACTGTCTGGAGATATGGGCTAATGCATATAAAACGAACACTCTTCCTATTTTCAAGTTACAAAAAAGAGCTGTAAGAATTATAAAACAATCAAACTATATAAAACCAACTAATATTTTGTTTATTAATCTGAATACCCTGAAATTTTATGATTTAGTTGAATATAAAATGGCACAGATAATGTATAAAGCACAAAATAACTTGCTTTGCCCCAGTACTCAGAAGCTGTTTAAAGTCAGAGAGAGTCAATATGACTTAAGGGGAATAGATTTCTTTAAAAACAAGATAAGGACAAATATAAAGCAGAGATGTGTTTCTGTTAGAGGAGTTAACCCGTGGAGTAGTTATGACAGTGATTTAAAAAGGTGGAGTTCATTTTCCTTGTTTAAAAACATGTTTAAAAATAGAGTATTAGAAAAATATATAAATCAAGAATGAAAAGAGCAAAAATAATAAAACTGAAACTCTTGACTGTTTTGCTTTGATGTAGTTATTTATCTAAGGTGGAACGTTTTTTGTTTGTTTGTTTGTGTCACGGTTCGCTGGAGGACTCACACGCAGGACTCAGAGGCACAGTATTTATTACAATTCCACCAGGTGTATTTGCAAACAGTGCAGAGGGGGTAGTGCTATATACAAAGCAGTGACAGGGGAAAAGGCTCCGGGGAAATCCAGGGAGGGAAAAGACACTCGCTCTTCTTCTGACTCTCTCCAGACACTCACACAAAGGAATCCACTCGGGGAATGCAGGGTCGGGTCCAGGGGATCTATGTACAGAAAGAAATACACGTCAGAGGTTTTGCGCAGGGAAAAGGGGACTTTGTCAGAGCCGGGCTGCACTGACGTGAGTCACACACAACGATCCAGCGATGAGTAGAAGCCACTCCCTGGCTTAAATGCTGGCTGTGCTGATGAGGCCCAGCAACAGGTGGCTGTTTCCTGAAGAGGAAACAGGTGTTTCCTCTTCAGAGGGGTGTGGGCCGAGGGCGTGAACCCACCATGAGTTCCGCCCTGGAGAGAGAGCAAGAGAGAGAGAGAGAGAGCGAGAGAGAGAGAGAGAGAGTGAGAGAGAGAGCGAGAGAACTACTAGTCAGCGGCCTGCTGATCCCCTGGCCGTGACAGTTTGTTTGTTTTTGCTTTGCTTTGCTTTGTTTTATTTTTTGCTTTGAGCCAGGAGCTACAGGAGCTGCATGCAAAAAGATCTTTTGTTAAAAGGGTTGGCGTAATAAGCAAATGCTTCAGCCAATACCTTTTGATTAGCCTTGTCTCATGCTTTCTTGCATTGTGGTAGATCTTTGTTCTGTATTCATTAAGATATTTGAATGCTAATCAATCAAATCAAATCAAATCAAATATATCATCATCATCATCATAATAATAATAATAATAATAACAGTTAACATTTTTAAAAAGAGCACAATTTTTTTTACTACAAACTAGGCTGTGGATTGAAAACAGTGGTAGGAAACCTCATCTGTGCAGGAGTTGCTCATTCCCTGAAATGGCAGCTCAGGTGCTCTTACATCCACTTGCACTGCAGGATGAATCCAAATATGATAAAAGTCTCAGATTTAGACAAAATGTCTCATCCTTCTAAAATGATACTGAAATATCTCAAATTGAGTGACTGACATGTAGACAGTTCTATAAAAGCTCAGACACGTCTCATCACGTGTGCGCCTTAACTCATTAAACTTTACATCAATGAAAAACTTTTTTTCTTCAGCTACACCTGAAACTGTTACTACAGTTGAAGTCTGACCGTTAACAGTAACTCAGTAAAACATCTCTATAGCAGAGATGGTGTAAGACAGCCGTCATATATCAGTGAGGCAGAAAAGAGATCAAATTGTAAAGATTTAAACTGGGGACAAAACATTTTAACCTCCTAAGACCTGAACTCTTATATGGCGTTTTTAAATTCTCTTTGCTATTTGGGCTGTTTGGGACCTGATGAATGTAAAACAAAGAATTTCCAGATATTTCTTTTTTACCTATTATTATATCAACATATGAGGACACTTGTTTTAAATTTCGATGGAACAGTGTCAGTATAACATGCACATAAGGGGATATCAGGCCCTTGTGGAGTAAAATTTTGTATTTTGGTCTAGACATCCCAAAATCTGGCGTCCAGCTATGGAGGTTAATCCAGTAATGACAGAAATATTAAAATGCTCTTAAAAACAGAGGTGTTATGTTTAAGTTCTTACTGAATAATTATTTAAAAAATGAAATCAATAGTTTTTTATTTAATAAAAAATCACCTGAGGTTGGATATTAATATCTCATGACCATGATGATGACCGTGATTAAAAAGACTCTTTATTCCCTCTGAATGACGCAGTCTCACATGCTCACATTCCTCAGTCTATTCAAATGGAGGCTCTGTTTTTTTACATGTTGCCATGGTGAATCATGATATCAGAGCTGCTCTGACGAATCGTTTCCTTTTCTAGTCGTCCATGTACTTAACTCAGCATGCTTCCTGTAACAGGGTCCAGAAGTACACAGTTCAAAGTACAACTTTAGAAGATCACAAAACACCCACTGTCCTGTAGACGGCTGTAGACTCCTCAGGCTCACGTTAAACAGTCAAACCATTTCCAGTGTATCTTTGTTTTATGTTCATTGCTTGGATTTTCATTTTTCAAGTCTTGTTTATTTTCATTCAGTTAAACAGTTTAAATATAATACGTTTGCTCTGTACAGACACAATTCTTTGTTTTCTGACAAAAATATTTTTCTGCCCTGTAGAAAACAAAGACACCGTGCCGTTATTTGGCGAATCCGCCTGAAAGAACATCAAGTGATGCAGCTCCAGAAACATCGCAAGTGACCACAGACAGGTTATACATCTTGTCAGGCGACGTGAGGTCTAGAGAGAGAGAGTCGGATAAAAGTTCTTAATATCCAGCCTTATGTGATTATAAATGGATTGGGATGAATCTGCAAAAGGTTTTGTAAAGGGAAGCAGGAGACTGTTGTTGTAGAGAGGACTGATGAGACTGAAGCTGTTCAGTTGCAAACAGAGAGTTCAGTTTAAAACAAGACAAGAAAAAAGAAGAAAAAAAGTTCAAATGTTCTGTTCTAAATCTGTTGTGTTCTACTAATTAATTCAAGAATTGGAAAAGACATATTTTGTTTTTGTTTTTAAATCCTATGCCAACTCTTTTTAGCTTTGTAAATATTGGCTATATTGTATGGATAACTCTTCTTTTATTTTTACTTTATTTTGCAAATTTATTTAAATTAGGCTATCCTCGGATAAATGTTATTTTGTTGGTTCTAAAGATCTGTCATGATCCAGCGTTTTAAGTTTGAGTTTATTTTGTTCATTAGGTTATCTAAGTTCATTTGTTTATTAGATTCCCCTTGTGTATCCAACCCCTGTTAAGTCTCCCTCGTCCTTCATGTGCTTCATGTTTGCGTTTCATTATGTTTCCCATTTTATTTTGAAAGAGGTCCTGTGTTCCTGCATTTTGTTTTACTTTTCCCCTGTGGCGTTGTTATGTTCATGTTGTGTCTACTGTGCCTTTCTGTCCCATGTTTCCTGTTTTACTTTCACAGTCTGTCCTTTGTTAATGTTTCTAGTTTTGCTTCCCTTGTCTCATCCTGCCTAATTACTCCCAGCTGTGCTCTCCTCCTGTGGCTCATCCCCCCTCGTTATCCCTCAGAGTATTTAAGCCCCATGTTTCTCTTTGTCAGTGTTGCGTCCTCCCTCATAGCTGTGTGATTTTCCCCTGTGGCTCCTTGTGCTTTAGTTTTCCCCAGTTTAGTTTTGTATTGTTTTTCTCGTCCCACTCCGCGCCAGCAATAAAGCTGTTTTTTGAGTTTACTTTTTGTCTCTGTGAGTTTGCGTTTGGGTCCTACTCTTGCCTGCACACAGCCGTATTGTGACAAGATCTGGATGAATATTTTACTTTATTCTTTATTGTAATTTTTTTTTATCCTCTTTTTCAGTTTTATTTTTCAAGACTTGGTGAATTGACCTTTATTTTTACAACTTGGCAATAATGAGAAGTGTTTTTCAGTTTCCCCCCTGAGGGATTGCCCCCTTGACATGGTCGGGGGGTTGCGTGCCTCAATGACCCTAAGACCTAGACCAGCAGAAGCTTAGTCTTCAGGTGGGACACCAACGATGCCTGACAATCCAATTACATGACAAAAACAGTTATTCAGAGCTAGATATAATCTCTCCAGTGTGTTCTGGGTCTGCCTTCTCCCAGTGGGACATGCCCGGAAAACCTCGCCCAGGAGGCACCCGAGGGGCATCCTTGTCATTATTGCAAAATCTTCATCCAGCTATTTGTTTTTAGGAGCCCTTCTTTGTCAAGTGGTAGGTTACCACCATCGCAGCTTTTGAGATGTATCTACAAATTCAAATTGATCTTATATTTTTCATTAAATAATAAAATATTTCAGTTTAAATGTCTGATTCTGTGTTTTGCTCTGAGTAAAATATCAGTTTGTGAGAGCTGCAGCCCTGATTTTATTTGCATTTTCCACAGCTTCACAACATTCAGCACCGAGTTTGGGCCTATTTATTGTTTTTCTTCAGAGTGGCAGAGAAGATTTCATTATATATCTCTTGATGTTAGAAAATGACTTCTTAGAACATCAGTAAAACTTAAGTTCTACCTTATGTTCTAAGTAGAACTTCTAACTTCTCTAAGTAGAACTTAGAACATAAAGTATACAAAAAGCAGCCGGATCAAATGAAGATGTGAAAGTAGTAAAGAACATAAATGAATATCAAAGACATCCACCCTCAGCCAGGGAGAGGAAAAAGTCAAGATTGTGCAAAGATAAGATGACAGGACATGATGCACCAACTTGAATAAATATTTGCAGGAGGAAACATTTGGCTTAGGAACCTTGAACCTGAACCACAAGTGTTCCTGTGAATGCACATGTGGCTGCTCAAGCTGGTGGACCTAAATGTTCACCTCCAAGTCCGTTCACATACAAGAGGAAGGGGAGTGAGTGAGTCAGCGCTCAGGGCACAGAGACTAAGTTGGCCTTAAACACACAGTTTTAAAATTCGCTCCCACAGTCCCATAATCCCACAGTCCAGCATGTTCCTTTTTCTGAAACAGGACAGGAATTTCTCTTTAGAGGCCAGAATAACAAGGAGGGGGCTCCTGTCGCAGACATGTCTCCTCCTGACAGTGCGTCACCGCAGTCCCGCCCCACTCCACACCTGAACACAGCCTCCCTCGTAGCACAGCCAGATCCAGGCAGAGGGGCACCCCTGCCCTGCTGTGAATTGCGGCCATCGCCACCCGCTGTTGTTGTTCCTGCCATTGGGATTGGATCGCCGAACGACTCGTGGCCCCCCATAGTCAGGCAGCAGTTCCTCCAACACATGTGCGGGCTTACACGTTTCTTTATCTCCTACTCACCTTTCGTGCGTCGCTCCTCCTGTCTCTGCGCTCACTATTCCCTTTAACGGGTCAATCTGGCGGCTGATAGGCCACCTCGGAGAACGCCCCCACCTCACAGGTGCCTACAATTGTCCGCTTCATCCACAGTGGATTAGAAGAATATTGTGCAACAACACTAAAATACATAATATAAATATGAGGATAAAACCATGCAATATAAATTTCACAATAATATCATGCAAATAAAATCAACACTATGTACCAATACACAGACTGATAAAACATAAAAACACAAATTTCCACTGCGTGACACACAGTTTGTGCATAACGTAAAAATCTGTTTTTATTTTTTCCAGCTTGACTACAAGTTTGTTGGTTATTTATATCATCTGCTCAATAAAATAATGAATTTAAATATAGAATTTTAGAAGAAAATAACAATTGTTAGTCTGAATGGCCAATAATCTCCACATTTAGTTCTTACTTTTGTCAAAACTAACTGTGTGTGTAAATGTGAAGGGAAGGCATCAGGAAAGTTATTTACATAACACATTAAAAACCGTGTACAACATTTGGAGATGTGAGCAGGACAGACGAACAACTGACGGGAAAAGTGTGGACTTTATACCAGTTTTTAAATTGTGTTGATCGGCCACGTAAACAGAGTTATGATAAAATATCTGCAATGTTTGTTTTTCTTCCTGAATACTGTCGTTGTTTATATTTACTGCGGGAAGAAACGGTAGAAACGGCGTTTTATAAGGAAAACGCTTGAAAGCACTCTACACCTGTGAGCAAAGACGAAATCAAAACACCCCCACCCTTTCCCATTGGTCGAAAAATGTACCATGTCGACCAATCAAAACATGGAATTTAGTTGTTAAGAAACGGGGGGAAGTTTTAGGAGTGATGGCGGCGTTTTGAGATGTGAGAGATTTGCAACGTTTAGCACAAATCTTGTGTAGTTAGTTTGTAGTGTAGTCAATAGTTTTGTTGTGTGTGTCAGAACAATGAGGCGACAGTGATACATCTGCTGCTGTCAGGCCTGCAGGTATCAGGCTGTTGTTCTCCTTCATCTCATAGTGGACAGAAATTATTTTTTGGAGTGGCACAAATAATTTGTGTGGCATCAGATTTGATGCAGAACAGCTGATTGTTCTGTAAATAGTTTGAAATGTTTGTTTAAAAACGCCTTGGCTGCATTTTTAGGTAAACAGCTGCAAAAAACTTTGTTGTTTGCAAAACTCAGTTACTTTTTTGAACAAGTAACTATATAATTAACTGCCCAGCATTGGTCATTATTTACTGTATTTTGCAGACAGTTACAGGACTCTCTCCCAGACCACAGACTCATAATACAAGTCAGAGCTTTATTTAAAAAAAAGAAAGAAGAAGAAGACAGTTGTGTTTTCAAAATTGGAGTTCAAGTTATTTTTACTTCCAACAGTGTTAACATGCTACACAGGACATGAACAGGATTTTTTTTAAATTTTCATTGTAAGTGGGCTAAAGCAGTTAATTAAAAGTAGTCTAACAGAAATGTAAATGCTGTAATTTGATTACTTTAATAAACCATGTAACTTAGATGGATTCGACGCTGGCGTGACCACAGTGCACACGTCTGATGTCGCTCACAGTGGTCCAAGGGACGCTCAGGGAGTTTGTGTGTTCGCTCAGACACGTGAAAAATTAGAGGGAACATTGCTGCTGACCAAAGAGTCATATTTATAAAATCATGAGATAACATAAAAACAGAACAAAGTAAAATGACAGTGTGTGAAAGGACTGTGATGCAGCAGCGACCTCGAGTGGCTGCTGTCTGAATTACAGGTTCTCCAAGTTCCTCCTTCACTTACAGCAGCTTTTAAAGTGTAATGACAAGCTTTCACTTTTTAGGTTTAAATGCCATGAATAAGAATTTTCCTAAACATTTTATTTTTGCCACAATATTTGGTCCATTTGATATCACAAAATGCTAAATGCAAAAAAGGGAAGCAAAACATCAACATAGCCTAAAACAATTCCACAAAAAAGAAAACTGATGCAGGTGGAAAAATCTCACTGTGTTCAAGCAAAATAAAATTATGAAAAATGTGCACAACAAAGCAAAATAAATACATATAAATAAAAGTGATGGCGATGGCTTTGCATGTGCACATCAAGGAAAATAAACTGAAGGCAAACATCCTGGTAATTAAAAAGTTCTGTAAGAATATTGTTCAGGTGATGCTTCATCCTGAGTAGTTAGCTGCAGCTTGTGTTCACTAAAGTTATAATCATGGGGAAACAAGCATGCTGTTTTTCAAGTAAAATTTCTCTTGTGATACTTTTAAAATTCAGCCTCAGAACATTTATATTTCTACTTCTGGTTCTATTGTAGACTATGAAATGAGCGGCAGGTTCTGCAGTCCAAAAGAAAATGGGAACTTGACTACAATTGAGGACAAAAAACCATTCACATAGCAGGTATTGACATAAAAATCAGGCAAGCAGTAGGACACATATGTACCTGTAATGAATGAGCAAAATTTGAACTGTTTCCTTTTTCAATTTATTTTCACAGCATTATTTACAATACTTATACTTCACAAGATGACCGGCGGCAGAAGTCACCGTTTTGGATGAGAGGGTGGAATGCTAAGTTAGCTAGGCTAGCAAAGTGACTCCACAGACTGTGGTTGTTGCACAAACAGCACAGATACCTGCTAAATATTAGATAGTCTTGTTGTTGGTAGCAAGAACCCAAACCAAAATACAAAAGTGTGTCTCAGGGACCAGAGCTACACCACAGCTGAGATCTGAGGGGTTTTATAGAGCACTGCATACAGGGCCCAGTGTCACTGACTGGAAAACAAACCACAGCAGCCGTTAAATGCCTGCAAATACCATCTGCTACACCAGAGCTTCCCTTAAATAACTGACATAATAGCTGAAAACCATTGAAATCTTTTGGTGTCAAAAATATCTGACTTCATGTGGTCTGAAATCATCTCTTAAA